GCTTTTTTGGTGTGTCACCAGTTACAACTTCCTTAGCATTACAATCAGCACAGAAAACTTAAATATTCACTCTCTAAAATAAATTCAGAAATAAGTTGTGTTTCTAAAATCCATTTGGCTTCACCATGCTTCATGGCAAATGTCTCTAGGCATCCATCATGGTACAAACAGCTTTGGGAACCCTCTTCTGATACAAAGCAGCTCTGGCTCTGTCTGTCTGCCTATTTTTACAAAAAGAGATTTTCTTTGTATAGAATTGTGTTTGGATGGAGCTTATGAAGCTCATCTCTCCTGTGATTCGCAACAGAAGTTTTAGTGAAGCACTAACCATTTGGAGAATGCAGGCAAAGCAGAAGAAATTGCTATGTAGACTTATCCTTATTGCCTTTGACTGTTTTTCTTTCCATAGCTATATTATGCATCATTGCCAGATACTGGGTGAATGTGAACCAAATGAAAGGGACTCCACTGCCTGTGACCAAGTTGTCCTTGTACAATTCTAGTTGTCACCTGCCTACAACTTTTTTTAATCTTACATCTCAGCAAATACAGCATTATTTCTTCAACATTGCCGGCTGCTGATAGGATCACTTGGCTGCCTATTTATCAAATATATCTGTAATTGAATTACCCACTGCAGTAATGGGATTTACTCTCAGATGTACATAAAACTGCAACACAAAGTAGAATTGTTCCGCTGTGTGCTTCCTCGTCACTTGGCTTGAACTCCAGATCAGTCAGTTCCACAGAAATGCAGAGGCAAAGGGAATGGAAGACTGTGAGATAAAAGGTAGGTGGGTTCATGACCAAATACGACAGAAATCCATCCTGCAACAGTGGTATTCTCTTTTGAAATAGTTTCTCAGCTGTTGTTAATCAGAAAGGCAATCCTAAAACATGAGAAGGAAAAGGAGTAACAGAGTGACTTACTTTTCCACGTAGAATAGTGAGCAAATGGGGAAACATTAAAGAACTCAGGAAGTGGAATAACTTGTGCTCATCTTTGATCTTGTCAAATAACCATAAATTTGGGAACCAAATAAAAAAAGAAAGAAAGAAAAGAAGACAATGACAGCCATACTTTGGGCAAAGCTTTTTGACTGTTTGAGACCACTGCCGCATTGATTCCATTTTCAATGGCATGTCCCAGGTGAAATACAACTTCATCTTTGAAGCCGTGTAGCTTCAAACTACCCTGTGAAATTGAGGCCAGATTTCCTATTTCTAGGATCTTCCATAAAGCACCAAGTAACTATGTTAGTATCTGTGTGCTAAAATAAATGAGTTAGGATTCAGCATCTTCTCTGTGGTCGAGCTTTTTGTTTGCTGTGTTCTATCTCCCTTAGACTCTGAACCAAACAGCATTTTAGACAGACCTACTGAGAGTGGGAAGTCTGTATGTATCCAATGTAGATTTTATATTCCTTTCTCCTTTCTATCAGAAATAGATTTTGTGTACATGAATAGTCCTTGTAGTTGGTAAAGGCACGTGTGACCAAATCAAATGACCCAAATTTGGTCCTCAGATACATGGTGGAAGAACAGAATGGATTCCCACAACCTGTCATGTGACCTTCACACATTCACCATGTCATATGCAAAACACACACTCAAAAGCACGAATGCATACTCATTCACTTACAATTAAGTGTAATAAAAATGTAAATACCCCAAAATAAGTACCATATTTACATATATACCAGCTGCTTCCTCAAGCTACATCCCAAAGAACTGGTGAATACCCATCTCCATGCTGCTAACAATCTGTGGGAATTACAAACAGCAGAATGCCCTGTCTATAGCAGATATGTCTGCAGGGTAGTAGAGGCTTTAAAGCATAGTAATTTTCAACTAGACTTCTATCTTAATTTAGAAAGGATGTGGGGAGCATCTGTGAAAATCTCTATGTTGCCGACAACAGCAACAAAGACACTATAAACAACTTAGAAAATGACATATGCTCATCTGGGGATTCCACAAAAGTTAACTTTGCCGAATATAAATATAAATTTGCAAACAGGTGCAGGTGGGCAGAAATGGAGAAGCTTCCCTGTTAGGTACTTTATTGTAATTCAATTTGTTAGACACTGTAATTTATGTTTTCAACATTATTGAACATTAAACACAAAAACTTGTCACCTTGGTATTATAATTATAGCCTAAGCAATTTGTCTGGGTAACTATAGCAACAACTTCAGATACATTTTATAATACTAATTTGGTATAATTTTAGAATCAAGAATTATAGCGGATTTATTATAGAAAGCAGAAATGCTTTTCTCGAATGGTTGTACATATTCTACAGGAAAAAACCTTGCTACTTAGCTAGGACTTAATGTAAATGAATGAATTTATTCTTTATTGCATGTCATGTAATCTGGAACGCAAGCCTCTTCTTTGGGGTCAGGTTCTGATCTGCAGACTCTAGAGTTCTTGCTCACTCTATCATCTGATGGCATGTCTTGAAAAAGTTCCACCCTAGCCTCCTCCACCTTCCTGTATTTTATCAGTGGAAAACTTCTATTTCAGTGCCTTGATGATTAAAAGGACATCCAGAGCCCTTAAAAACCACTATCCAATTAATTGGAACTGTGCGATGGTTCCACTAGGTAGCCTTCTCAGGCATGAGGAGCAATTGATACAGCTCATGAGAAACTGTCATCTAATTTGAGTCAGAAGAATACAATACAGAGACATGTTGATTTTAGTGACTGTCGCTCAGCAAAAGGATGAAGTGAGGATAGAGAACAATATTCTATGAGAAACGGATAACTAGGGGGACTTCAGGTGGTCCGCCATACCCAGGCTTATGCTAAACTTGCAAGAAGACGCTTATATTCATCTTAGTATCATTGTCAACTAGCTTTAATCTTTGGTCTACATTTCTCTATTTCATTCTCTGCAAACATGGCTGGGAAGTTACAAGAGACAGACACAAGCAGGAACAAGTATGAGTTTACTTTTACCAGATTCTGAACACCACACATACTCTGGTCAACGATAGGCTCTCCCACCCAGAAGACCAAAGTCTTTGCTCTCAGCAGGGACCCCACAGCTGTTTGCCATTAAGACAATCAAAGGAACTGGCCACATCTAAGAGGCATAAAATAATGAGCATCATCCACCTTTGTGAGCACAAGTATGTGTGGAGACTAAAGACATCTAAAAGCAGACACCACCAGTTCATGGACTAACTCCACAGTTGCATGGATGCACATTGTGACTACAGGCAGCATCCTGGTCGAGCCACAGTTTCAAAAGCTTTTACAATAAACAAATTCAAGGGAAAAGAAATCTGTGCTTCAAACAATTAAACTTAGAACTGCTTTTTCATGGAAATCAGGCTTGCAGAAGAAATTTGAGTGGGCAGAAAGAAATGCATACTTCTTTTGGAGTAAACACAGGAAAGAAAACTTGCTTTGGTGATCTACAACAGACGGTGCCTGCTTACGACTTAAGCCTTAAGTGGAACTGTGAATGGAGTCCTCCCAGGGGTGGGCTTCAGCTTCTCTCAGAAAAATGAGAAGTGGCATTAATCAGCAATGAATTCAACGATCCTACCCGGGTGCTAAAAAACATTTGCTACTGAACTCTAGTTTTGTCTTCCTATGTCTCCTTTTAAAAGACTAACTTCATAATTAATAACACATCTGCTCTTCGCAAACTTGGTTGTTATGCCAGGGCCCTTCCAGATAAGCTGAACACACGGTTATTTTAAAATAAATATGAATAAATATGCTGAAATAACTTTTAACACTCCGTCATTTTAACCAATATGCTCCTCAGGAACCGACCTCTGATATTTCCTGATATTTTCACGCAATTTCAATTGCCTTCTTGTCAAATCCAGTTGTCAAAGGAGAAATGTGTAGACAGATGTGTAGACAGAGGAGTTTGCAGGAATTTGTCTTCCTGTTAGAGGGCTTCCGTCCAACTTTTCTGTCGCTGCTCCTAACTAGGTTGAAAGCTCTCCATGGTTAACAGAACAGCTTCCTCCGCTCTTCGCCTTTTGAGGTGAAATTATTGCAAGATCTTTGTTTTGCCACTACCTAGGATCTCTACCCTGTCTCCCAGGAAAGAAACACCAACAGGCTCAGTGGCAGCCTCTCACAGTCTCCGAAAGCTCTCTCTTGGCGCCCCCTGCCGGGCATCTCCCGGACGCCGCGGGCGCAGGAAAGTTAAAGCCCAACTCCAGACAACAGCATCCAGGTACAAACAACAAAAAGATGTGGTGAAAGCACTTCCCGCCAAAGCCAGAGAAACTAACCGCATTAGGGGACCAGGGGCGATCGCGGGGATCAATCCCCACCCCCAACAGTTCCTCCGAGCCCCGATCTTCGCCTGGCCCCAGACACTGAGTCCGGGTACGAAACGTGTCCGGCTGAGCCACCAGCGCACAAGGGCTCCGCGAGTAGAGCCCACCCGGCTGGCGGGTCCCCAGGCCTCGCCACCCCTGCCTCAGTCTACCGCAACAAAACAGCCTGGTGGAGCTGAGACCTAGTCCCACTCCCCCCGGATTCTCGCCAACACCGCAAAGCCCCTGTACCGAGAGCAGGAAAATGTTCCTGAGTCCACCGGGCTGCGAGGCAGGCGATTCCGACTGCCAGACCCGCTGCAGCTCCCACCACCACGCGAGCCTGGCTTCGCGCAGAATACGCGCACAGACCTCCACGCGTACCTGAGAGGTGCAGGCTCGCCCACTAGCCGGTCGCCCACTCGAACCCTCCAGCTCCTTTGCAGTGCCTGCTCGGATCCGGGCAAAGGCTACGACACAAACTTCCAGGCTGTGCTCTAGCTCCCCTGCGACCGCTCCGCACTGATGGTGGTCCTATGCCTGTCTCCTCGCGTGGCTGCCAAGTTGTCCCTACCCAGGTGCCTGCAGAGTGACCCGTACCGAGATCTGCACCACCCACAGACAAACCAATGCTGCCCCCAGGTCGAGTTCACCCGCGCAGGGTCTCAGCCAGGACACCCAGGGACGCGGCGGGGAGCGAACTCACCAGATGCGGGGAGCGTGCCTCCTGCCAGTCATCCAGTGCCTGGGGCTGGAGAGGCTTCAAGGGTCCTCTTCAGCGCGCTGCGAGGGAAGTCGAGGCAGCAGCCGCCACTGCTCTCCGCCACTTCTCCAGAGCTCTCCTCTGCTCGCAGAGCTCCAGGCTGGGGACCAGCTCCGCCGCCTGGAGCACGGAGTGTCCAGTTGTGCGTGTAGCTGAGCAAGCGGGCTCGCGCTGAGCGAGGGCGACCCTCAAGGTGGCAAAGTTGTGTGCCTTCTGCTTGATAGCCGCGCGTGGGAACACCCCCAAAGAAGGGTCGCACGAGCTGGGGCTATCCCGCACTGGGAAGATGGGATGCAGAGGACACCTCTCGGCAGGGGCCGCGACCGGCTAGGGTTTAAGGATCCACCCGCGACGGGAGCGCAGCGCCCGGGAGTGGGCACAGCGTGAGCAGCCGCCGCCGGCGCCGCCTTCCCGGCGAGTAGAGCGACACTGGGTGCGCGGGCCCGGAGCTCGGGGCGGGGAGCACAGGGCCGCCTCGCCCCGCCCCCGCCACGCCCCCGCCGCCGCACCTCCCCTTCTCCGCCCCTCCCGGGTGCAAACTGAGCGCCCCACCCGCCCCTGACCTTCCCAGGCCCCTCCTCTGGGCCCGCCTCTTTCTGAGATGGGACCCCTACGCACACCCAGGGGGACTGTCACCACACCGCACGAGTCCCATTTGTGCCTCCCGAGGGCAAGTTCACCCAAGTGGTGACTTTTTAGGGACTCTCTTTCTCCCAGAGACCTCCAGTGGCTACCCGCCCCCTGTCCAGTCGCTCCGACGTGGCTACTTCGCGGGCTGGGCTGTATAAAGAGCTGGAGGCAGCTTGGCGGGCGCAAAGCAGAGACGTGGCACTTCTACTAGGCCGGCCTAGGTTCCAGGTATGTGCGCGCCCCTCGGCAGATCACGGGTGGGAAGAGGGTAGGAGTTTAAGATTCAGTTCTTCCCTATCATCCAAAGAAGACCCGGGGCAGGGGAAGAGCAAGGGGGACGAGGGGCCTTGCCCCACCTCTTGCAAGCGAGTTGGGCCCAGGAGGCTCTCAGCTAATTCAGGCTTACTTGAAGGGAATAGATCAGGCAAATGAACATACCCTATCATCCAGGGAAACAGAGCAAGAGGTCCCCGCGTGGCCCTGATGGCATTAGGAGAGGGTCTCTTCATGGACAGAGCCTGCTAGGCTAACTTGCACTTCTGCAAGGATATCTGAGCCCGACAAAAAGTTCATATTGGAACAAAACGTAAATCGCCTTGGCAGGGAAGGAAGTGTTCAACTCAGGAGGTTTTAAACAACCTGTGGGGTTGTTGAATGGGAAAGTTACAGGATAAAGAGAACCAGAAACCTTGCATCCCTGGCCCTGTAGCCACGAGTGACCCCTTCCCTCAGTACAGGATGGGATGACAGTGGCTTCAGGCTGTTTTTTTCCACCCATCTTAGGCCTTGTTAGTGGCTTCAGGATGTTTGGCACTAAGGAACCTCATCAGTGACTGTCTTATCTGTGGGACTTAAGGATGTCCCCATGGGTCACATTCCCACCCTGGTAATTCGCAGGTTGCAAATGTGCTGGGGCTGGGGGCAGTTCAGAGAGTCTGTAAGGGTGCCATTGTGCTAAAGGGAGACATAGTAAGGGCTGGAATGTGTCACGGCCCTTCCAGGACCACCGAGATTCAAGAGGAAGACAGCAGAAGCCCAATTTGTCGTTTCTGTCACCTCAAATGAACAATTAAATGTAACGATTTTGAAAGCATCCCTGAGAGTCTATGCCAACCCCAGGGTGTACAGTGTCTGGAACAATGGGCCGGGAGGGTACCAGAGGCCCAACTCGGGGTGGGGAGGGGGCTCACTAGGGAAGCATGCCTCACAGCTGTTTGGCTGGTGTCTAGTTCTCCTGGAAGCTCCTGGTTTCTGGGTCTGGAAGGGAAAAGTTAATGGGTTTCTATGCTTGTCCCTGCTGCTTCAGGAGTGGGTGGGAACTGGCACCATTCCCAACACTCTCCTTGCCTTGCCTGCGTGGCACAAGAGCCTGAGAGGCTCCTGGGAGAAGGAAGCCCACAAGGGCCAATGTCTGGCTGGAGAACCTCAGCCTTTCTTGCCCTCGACCCCTATAGCCTTCATGTGGGCGGCTGGAACCTACAGGGTGAAGAAAGACAAAGAAAGTGTGTTTAGTTAATTTTTATCCTTACCCCTCGACGCTGCTGTTAAAAACGATTAACACTTTATTTTTTAAGAATGAAAGAAGTATGGGCATCATGCGTGTGTGCCCAGGACTCTGGTGGCAAAGGCAGAAGGATTGAGAGTTTAAGGCCAGCTTGGGGTCACCTGGGGAGACACTACCTCATGTAGCCTGACAAGCAGGCAAAGCAACTCGCTCTTAGCTTGGAGACCTAAACCCTGGGCACTGTGGGAATTATTACATAGACTCTCACCCTCTAAATGAAGTGTCTTTTGTGTCATTGGAACAGGAAATGGGCTCAGTTTTGCTGTGTGCAGACTACACTGTACCGTTGTTAAAATCCATTAGTGATAATAAATTAGAAATTTCTAGTAAGCAAGAACAGAAACCAAATCCTCATTTAGAATGGGATCTTGGTTTAAAAGTCAAGTAGTTCTGAGTCGAGGGTGATGGTTGTCACTGACTTGCAGGAAGTTTGTGAACTTTTCTGAGCTTGTGTCTTCTTGTGCAACGTGACCCCGTTCACCAGGCGTATCAGCCAGAGGCTCTGAAGGAGAAAGGAGCTGTTAAACAGAAGATATCTGAGGCTCAGCCCCAAGCAGGCACTCTGACATCTAATTGCTTTAAAGTGTATTAAATATTTCCTTTTCCTAGTTTTCCTTTTCAAAAGCCTTCCTTGTTAAAGTACTCAAATCATCAGATTGTAAAACTGAACTTGAACACTATTTTACCAAGGACTTTTTTTGCTGTCTTCACAATGAAAATCTCTCTCTCTCTCTCTCTCTCTCTCTCTCTCTCTCTCTCTCTCTCTCTCTCTCTCTCCCACTCTCAAGCATCACACACACTTCCTCTGTCTCTCTGTATAAAGCTCACATACACACACACATACACACACACTTTTTCTCTGTGTGTCTCTGTCTCTCTGTATAAAGCACACATACACACACATACACACACACACTTCTCTGTGTGTCTTTCTCTGTCTCAAGCATGCATTCACACACACTTGCTGTCTCTGCCTGTTTCTTGGTGTCTGTCTGTCTCTCTGTCTCTGTCTCTTCCTCAAGCATGCACACACACACACACACACACACACACACACACACACTCAACTGCTGCAGGTTAGCCTTATGTACAGGGTCAAGCTGAAAACAGCTATGGGACACAACCGTTGGTGAAAATGATGAATTCTGGGGCGCTGATCCATGTGATTTGAAAAACGCCATCCATTTCCTGACTCACCTCAGAATCCGTTCAGAAATATGAAGCAGCACATGACTGCAAACTAATGCAACTATTTTGTGTCATCTTTATATTCCCTCCCAGGGCCTGATTGCAGCCAAAGAATGGAGCAGGGAGGAGCTGAAGAGAGAATGGCCTGGGAGACATGAAGACAGCTGTGGACCACTGTTGACTTTCCCAAGAAGACTCACTAACTGTAGACTTTGATATGTAACAAGACTACTAGACTATTTTTTTTAAGTCCTAGAATCATAGCCTCCTTACATTTTATGTTTTCCTGTACATGAGTCAGGTAGATGTTATAGTCACCATTTGACAATTTTTCACACTAGTTTCAAATTTCAAAGATTGTCTGGTCCTTTATTTACTTATGCATGCATGCATGTATGTATGTATGTATGTATGTATGCATTTGTCTGTCTGTCTCTTTGTTTGTTTGCATATTTATTTAGATGGGATGCTCTGTGTGGTCCCAGAACTCACTCTGTAGACCAGACTGGCCTTGAACTCAGAGATTTGCCTGCCTCTGCCTCCCAAGTGCTGGAATTAAAGGCATGCACCACCATTGCCCAGCTAATCCTATCCCTTTTAACACAGCTAAGCCTTGGTTCAAAGATATGAAGTTTGATGTCACTGTAGATTTGCTCAGAGCTGCTCCAGGTTTACTTATTTCATAGGATTCTGAAGACCCATAGTTGTAGTTACAAATTACCCCATGATGGCCGTCCATACAGGTTTTCACAGCCCAAGGCTTTTGAAGGGGAGAGGTTGCATGAACTTTCAAAGCCTTCTCTGGTCTATTGGGCTTCACCGAAGACTTTTAAGGTTCCTATGCCCCAAGAAAGCTCTCTCCCCTTCAGTACCCATTCCCTGAGTGGTGTTAAGGAGACTAGTTTTGTTTAAAAAGAGCGTTGTACATGTCTGGAACTTGTCATCACACACACGTACACACTCACATACACATACACACATACATACTCACACTCATAGATAACAAACACAGACACTCATACACAAACTCACACATACACACACTTTCACATATACACAGATACACACACACTCTCTGTGTGTGTCTGTCTCATACACACATACAGATACACACATATTCTATCTCTCTTTCGCTATCTCTCTTATACACAAATAGATGCACACACTCTCTGTCTCTCTCTCTCTCACACACACACACAGAGGGAGAGAGAGAGAGGGAGAGAGAGAGGGAGAGAGAGAGAGAGAGAAGGAGAGAGAGAGAGAGAGAGAGAGAGAGAGAGCATAAACAGATCTGATAAAAGTGCAGATTCTTGGTCCTTAAGGTAAAGTTTCAGCTGTTCCACACTGCTAAGGTGTGTAAGGGAGCCTTCAACAAGGCCCCCTCCATAGTTTAATCTCTACTCAGGGTCTACCATGGCTTCCTAGGACTAATTAGAGAGATGTAACCATGAACTCTGTCCCCAGTTATTCCTGATGGTTGACACAGAGTGACCTGCCTTCATTCACCTCAAGTGAATTCTTCTTACCAATTACCACTCAAATTCAACCCACACTAAGAGTGACATCCTTTCACCTCTTAGCCATCTTCAAAGAAGCAGCTTGGCTAAGTGTGTGGGTGCCAGCCGTAAGTAGCTGCAGGGTGTACCCAGATGTACCCTTAGGAAGACATGCTTGCTCTCTGGATGGGGGTGGACATCGTTTTCAAGTTATTTTTTTTTCTTGACATGTTCAATGAAACTCCAAGAGTTTAGCAGGGCATCGCAACTTACTTCTGCTACATTCCAGAAGTCAAAGCATTCTGGAGATCTTCAAGATTTTGTTTCATAATTGTGTGTGTGTGTGTGTGTGTGTGTGTGTGTGGCTTGATTTATAGATATGTTTTCTGGCAACCCCAATTTCATTAAGATAAATCTGGTGCCTGGAAAGCAGTTCAAGTTGTCTTTTAGAAGCATAGTATGGGGAAAAGAAGAATGCTAAGTTTAAATGAATTTTGGAATACCTACGGGAAAGGCAGATGGTCTCTGGCATGAAGATAAAGCATCCTTTTAGTTTCCTTGGAGTTATTTTCTGACATTGAGACTCATATGTCTGGAGTGTTTGTAAGCAAAGAGTGACTGTGCTTATTTAATTTAGAAAGATATTTTGACTTATTAATTAATATCTCCTACATTCTTCTGTCTCTGAGAAACAGAGCTTTGAGGGGACATAAATAGTTTCAGAAATACATTTTTTAAATTATACTTAGATTTTGGAGCACGAATTTCCCTGTCCCAGTTTATTTCAATATTTACCAACTAAATTTACCATAATAACCTTGAATTCGATAAAAGGGATATTTGTAGAATTAATCCAAAGGGGGCATGTCTTGACAAGCAAATTAAGAGGAATAAAGGCTGTTGGGATCTTGTGGCCCTCTGTCAAAATTCATTGCTGACCTTCCGTCCCATTCCCACTATTAGTGCCTTAATTCCCTATGTCAGTTTCTCTCGCTCCAAAGACCAACACCTCATCTAATACTGACAGCAGTGATTGCTCCTCAAAGAGCCCCACACCACCCCCAATGAGGAGCATCGTCTTTGATGACACAGGACTGATTTTATTTGAATTGCAAAGCACCTGGTTTTAAAACAATAACAAAAAACAGAATTTTGTTGCAGCAGGATGGAGCCTTGCTATTCAGTTGGGGGCAACAAGGTGAACACTGTGTGAGGTTCTCTGTGATGTTAACTCACAGATTTGAATTTTTGCTGTAGTTTTGCTTTCCTCTTCTACCTGATTCTGCTCAGAACTTAATGTAGAGACTGAATTACAGACACTGTCTTAGCCTGTAAGAGTATATAAGCAGGAGCAGGATGATAGTGAAAAGGACACTTAAATCCTGGGGACCCAGCGGCTGCTCTTAACAGAGATTGTTGAGTCAACTGTACTGAGAAGAGATGGTGCTAAGAAAGTTGACCTATGGGTGTGTCTGATGGGGGTGGGGGCGCAGAATTTCCAGGGAAAATGAACTAAGGGAGAAAGTCCCACTCACTATACTGGCTACTTTCTGTTGTCAGATTGACAAAAATTAGAGTTGCCTAGGAAGAGGACAACTCAGTTGAGGAACTGCTTCCCTCAGATTGACCTGTGGTATATGTGTGAGAGAAACAAGAGCGAAAGTCCACAAAGAGGGAAATTTCTGTTAAGATTACTAAAGTTGCCATACGCTATTCAATAGTGTTCATACAGTTAAATAAGGTAAGACACTGAAATCAACAAAGACACGGGGATCAACAAAGAGAACAACAGAGCAGAGAGTCCGTGAATGGCCAAGGTCGGCTCTTTAACAAAGGTGGCATATAGCTCGCTGGGGAGAGGAGAGACTCAACACCAGAATCTAAGGCAATTGACTGAGTCATTTACCCCAAGCCATTCTTTCAAATAGCTTCAAAGCAGATTAAAGCAAAAATTAAAGGAAAACATTAAAAACACTTAGGAGAACACTTAAGCAGCTATCCATATGACCTCTGGCTAGGGAAGCAATTCTCAGAAGAAGATACAAAGACCAGCCATAAAGAAAAATCAACGCAACAAACCACATTGAAGTTCAGAGCTTCCATGCAAGGATACACAACTTAAAAGCAAGCCCTGGCTCTAGGGAACTTTCAGTGTACACAGATAACAAAAGGTGGTAGGCAGTGTATATTCCCAAGCTCCAATCAGCCCACTGGGAAAGAATTAAACCATGCAAAAATGGACAAACGAAGCAAGTATTCAGTATAGGCATAGTAGTATCATGCAACCCCTTTCCCAAATCACAAAAGCCAATTAAAATAATATATATATATATATATCTGACAATTAACTATTATCACATATTGGCAAAAAAACGATTCTGGAAGTGTGAGTTCTTATAATCACTTGGGAAGGCATTTTGGAGACTCAATGTTGAAAATGCACATTCCATTACATGCACTGGGCAAGGGACACATGGAAACTACTGTCAGTTTATTAATAAAAACTAATTGTAAATTAGTTTTGAATAATTTATGGATATATGCCCAATAGCTAAGTGTCCCAGACAAGATAAATGCTAAACTCATGACTTCCAGTTCTGAAGCGAGGGAAGATAGTAGAGAGGTAAACAAAGGCCACCAATTTTAGATGTGATCTTGATTTTTGATTAGTATAAAAATAAGAAATAGTGCAGATATTGAAAATGTTAAGATCAAACAGGGCAGCTTTGGTGGACGCTCATTAGATTAGCAGACTTTTCTGAATCCTCAAAAGATTTCCTAATTCAATAAAGAGGGTTAACGGGAAGAAAGGAAGCACAGAGAGCTGGTACAGGAAGCTCATTAAATGGTTTTGTCCTGAAGAAAAATAGTCTGTAACAGCTGGACGGACATGCGCACAGAGGACTATTCTATAAGTGGGTCACTGGGAAAAGGTTTTCACATTGCTTGGAATGCTTCTACGGACAGGGTCAAAGTATCTATGTAATAGGAAAACAAGGTAATCCCAGGACAAAGGCTTCGCTGAGCTAAGAGGCCATAGGATTTGTGTTTGGAGGGAGCAGGGTCCTCCTAGAATTACCAAGGGAAAGTGGACCAGCGCTGAAGTGGGGATTGAATCTTTATCGATGCACATGGAGACCTGATCCTTCTGTTTTCCTAGCATTGCATGGGCAAAGCTTTCATGTGGAGCAGGGAGCGGGTATGGATGTTAGAAAAGAAAAAGAGACTTGCAGAATAAATACTATGCACATCAGGAAAATGAACTTCCTGAGGAGCAGTCCTAGGGTCTCCACGGCTCCAGTGAGACCCATGTTCTTATGCCCAGATGCACTCCATCAGCAGCCTGGTGGGTTCTGCCCAGCATCTTCAGGCATCTCATCTCCAGTACAGGTGGAGGTTTTGGGGTGATAGAATACAGCCAGAAGATGATTTACTCGGATAACAGGCAAGAGGAGCAGGGACACAGGAAGTTTGTGAGAAGTACTTTTAGGAACACCATGCCATGTGAACTAGCTTTTAAACATCCAGAAACAAGAGTGGTGATGGTGTCAATGGGCTGGAATGTGGTACACTAGCTGGGATATAGGAACCATGGTCCCGGGAGCCTGGTTTTCCAAGGTATATCCCTGCCTTGGGAGTTATAAAGGAGAGGTTGGTGTTTGTTGAGAGTGATAGATAACAAAGTGTTCTTGGAACAGAAGATGAACATCTCAGATGTAGGATTGGTGTTGACATTAGGGTCTCTAACAGCATCTTTAGTGAGTGACTATGGCATTGAAGTTCAGCATATAATAATTATAGACAAAATCATTTTATAATTTTGAGTGTGTAATTAAGAGGGGAAAAAAGACCTCTATGA